TTTACTTAGGTAGCTAGCTTCCCTTGCCTGGAACAGCTTTTTCCTTCTGGAGATAACTTCTTGTCCTTTGAAACTAAGTCTTTTTTTTTAAATTTCAGACAACCTTCTCCTTTTCTTTTTTTCCCTGAATTGGTTTGGTGACTTTGTGCATGTCTCCTTTACTGCAGTATGCATTAGTTATTTGTGTTCATATGTATTATTCTCCCATCCTCCCTTTCAGGACAGAGTCTGGTCGTTGAAAAATTTTTTTAGTGTTTTTTTTTTTTTTTCCTTTGAACACGAGTGATGTATTATAGGTATTCCTAAATGAATATTTTGTTTTTGATTGCTTGAAAATGAAACTGGCTATGAGCAGTTCCTGTAGTATAATGGTTAAATGCTGGTCAAAGGAAGGTGAATCCCACATGGCTGACCAGGGTTCAAATCCTGGCCTAGTGGCTTGAAAAATAATTAGAATTTACACATTCAGGTTCCTGACGGGATGGAGAATTGAAGGTAAAAGGATTGCTGTGTGGGTAGGCCCCAGTGGGAGGTGCTTTCCCTCTCTCCGTCTTGTGCTTGCATGCCCTTTGATACTTAAAAGAAAGAAAAAGAAAATATGTAGTAAAGTTATAGAGAGTTTAGAGTTTGCTTTATTTGGATACCATAAGATATTGGTTGGCGATTGGGAAAGGAGACTGAATGACTGAATGGAAGCCATGCTCCCACAGTAAGGAAGAATAATTGGATCCTTTTTTTTGTGTGTGCAGAGTTTACCTCTCAACCCCAAACCTTTCCTCAATGGATTAACAGGAAAGCCAGTGATGGTGAAACTCAAGTGGGGGATGGAGTATAAGGGCTACCTGGTATCTGTAGATGGCTATATGAACATGCAGGTAAGCTAAAGGTCGGAAAATCGTTTATTTTGCTTCATCTTATCCCTTGAAGGTTTAGTGTGACCAATAATACATACAGGGGCCAGCAGGTGGCATGGTGTTTGAGGTGCCAGATTCCCACATGGCTGACTGCAGTTCGAGTCCTATACCTGGCAGCTTGCTTTCTCACTTTCTCTCTCTCTTGCTTTCTCGCTTTCTCTCTCTCTGGTGAGCCTATGTGCCCTATAGCAAATTAAAAAATAATAAATAAAATGAAATAAGTAGTTCTTTTTTTTTTTTTTTTTTTAAGACTTCA